ATAATATATGTTACTTCTTTTTCTCCCATTCCCCTCCCTTCCAACTCTCTAACTCCTCTTTACTTAACAAAAGCTTTCTTTCCTTCTATTTTTATTTCCTGTCCCTTCCTTCCTTTCTCCCATCCTCCTCCCTTGTTCTCTTTCTCCTTTGAACGTTTTCTTCCCATTTCCCAATCAATAATCCATCATACATTTGGTTCCTGTTTACACTTTCAGTTTCTCACATCAAAATGAACCTCCCCCACCCCCAACCCCCGTACCGGGAATCAAACTCACAACCTTGCCCTTGCCAGGCAGGCACTGTGCCTCTGAGCTAAACCCCCAGCCTCAAGGAACCTTTTTTTTTAAGATGGCAACTTTTAAAATATTTTGTCAGCCAAAAGTAAAATGGAGGGGCTGGGGATTTAGCTCAGCGGCACGGCACCTGCCTGGCAAGCACGAGGTCGTGAGTTCCATTTGTACCGGAAAACAAACAAACAAAAACAAAAAAGTGGAATGGATAAAGTTCTTTGTAAGTGTAAATTCAAAATCATCTTTATATGAAGAATAGGATTTGACGACTTGTTATAAGAAAAAGGTGTTTGCCTTCCTTTTGCTGAAGAACAGCATGTCTGCGATAAGAATTTAAATAATTTTTAAGCACAGATGGGGCTATTGCTGAGATGTTTTCAGACAGTGTTTCCCACCCTTTCTTGTTAATGACTGTTAATTTCTGCCAGGTGACTGCGAGGGGTGATTTGTTTGCTCTGCTGTAGGCACAGGTGATAGTTTTCGCCAATCTATACTTTTTCCTCGGTGATTTTTGTCATTTTTGCCTTTTATTTGCTTCGTGCTGGATTGCTGCTTTATTGTTTCCACAGTCACCTACTGCACAGTAAACCAGGCCGTTTCCATGCAGATGATACAGTCACAACAGGAGATGTTACAGAGCTCTCCCAAGGAGGTACCACTGCTGGGATTCTTGCTCCTGCCTTTGGAGACTTCGGTACTCCCTGTGGACCTCTGCCTTTCAAGTCATGCAGAGAAATTAACCTTGCTGAATGACTCCTGTAGCCATTGGCCTCTTGGTTGCCTTTTAGACAAATGTATGCTCATGAGTGAGAACGCTCTCCACTGTCTTTTTTAGTCCAGTGAGCTGCTGTGCTGACCAGGCGTCAGTGTAACCCCTGTGTACGTAGCGCCACCTGAAATGTGTTTCAGAGGGACTTACACTAGCAGGGTGTGCGGCTGTCAACAGCCTTGGTTTCATCCATCTTCTAACCACTCAGCTGCTTTTTAAAACTGGCAGATGGCCCTTTTACTACATCATCCACTCAGGAGCAGTCCGAGTCCTTAAATTCTAGAAAAAAACAGCAACCCCCAGACTCTCCTCTGTCGCTTGTTTGGTTGCTGCCAGTGGCTATAAAAGGGATTGGAGGGCAACAGTATAGTGTAGGGTATCTCTCCTTCGTCACAGTGGAAGCATTTAGGAAGGAATGTGGAGGTTAGTATTCCTTTTCTGTCGTTAAAAGATAAACAGTATCTTGCTTTGAGGAAGGAGATGGGATGTGACTTTTAGGCCTTTGAAATATGCATTGTTGTTCTCATTGAAACAAAAATCAGCTGGGCATGGTGATGCACACCTGTAATCCCAGCACTATAGAGTCTGAGCCAGGAGGATTGTCCTGTGAGTTCAAGGCCAGCCTGAACTACATAGCAAAAGCCTCTCTCAGAAGCCCCCAAAATAAAAAGCATGCAAGGAATGATGATGTAGCTTATTCATAAAGCACCTGCTTACCATGCATAAGATCCTGGGTTCAATCCCAAGCACCATACTCACTCACATACACACATAAAGTGAATATATATGAACACACATTTTGAGTTGTTCTAAATTTTTCTGTCTCAACAAAGGTACAAAAGCAGTCCTGGACAATAAGAGCAAAGCAGGAGGCATTACAATCCAAGACTTCCAGTTATATTACAAAGCTACAGTGATAGAAATAGCATAATATTGGCTCAAAAGCAGACATATGGATCAGTGGAATAGCCCTAGGCATATTCAGCCATCTTATCTTTGACAAACGGGCCAAAAACCTAAGCTGGATGAAAGATAGCCTCTTTAATAAATGATGCTGGGAAAATTGGCTATCCATATGTGGAGATCTGGACACATATTTCGGGTTAGGGATGTAGCTCAGCAGTGCAGTGCCTGGCTGGCAAGTGTGAGGCCCTGAGTTTGATTCCTGGTACCAAAAAAGGAAAAAAAACAGACCCATACCTGTCACCAGAGTAGTACAACGACAACCCCCAGGCTTCCCTCTGTCACTTACTGGGTTGCTTTCAGTGGCTAAACTAAAATAAGAATGGGTCAAAGATCTAAGTATTAAAACAAAAACATTTAACCTGCTGGAAGATAAAATAGGTAAAACTCTTGAAGACATAGGCATAGCCAAGGGCTTTCTGAACAGATCCCCAATTGCAAAAGAAATAATACCAAGAATCAACACATAGGATTATATCAAATTAAAACACTTCTGGAGGGCTGGGGATATAGCTCAGCTGCAAAAGCACCTGCCTGGCAAGCTCAAGGTCATGAGTTCAATTCCCAGTACAAAAAAAAAAAACATTTGTAATGAAAATTATTTAGGGCTGGGGATTTAGCTCAGCGGCACAGCGCCTGCCTGGCAAGAGCAAGATCGTGAGTTTGATTCCCGGTACTGGAAAAAAAAAAAAAAAAGGATCTGATCTTCATGGGGCTGGGGATTTAGCTCAGCGGCACAGTGCCTGCCTGGCAAGCGCAAGGTCGTGGCTTCGGTTCCTGGTACCGGAAAAATAAAATAAAATAAAATAAAAATAAAACACTTCTGCACAGCAAAGAAACAACCAACAGAGTGAAGAGACAACCTATAGAATGGGAAGAAATTTTTGTCAGCTACTGCTTAGAGAATCTAATATGTAAAACAGTGATGGCAAACCTTTTAGAGCTTTCAACAATAAAAACAGCCTACCACAGCATGGGTGCCATAGGTTCGCCACCACTGATCTGGAATATGTAAAGAACTTTTAAAAAGTAGAGCTCCCAAAATAAAAGACACGGTCAAAATATGGATAACAAGTGAATAGACACTTCTGTAAAGAAGAAATGGCCAATAGGTACCTGAAAAATAGTTGAAAAAATGCTAAAACAGAACATTCATACAAGAAGTAATTGCATCGAGTATGTATTGTAGAACTCAGAAACACTAAATGGCTTGTAGATGTCTGGATGTTTTTTAAGCATTTGGAGAACAAATTTTGGCAGTATTGTACAATAGTGTAGGAGCATAAATACTGTGTTTGAATATTAGAAAATATTAAAAAGTTCCAGAGAATACTGAAAAAGCTCTCACTAATAGGTATTAGTTACAGATATTTTTTCTAGTACTAGAACAGATCTCTAGTAATCAGAAAAAATGAGAATAAGTGTTCTGAGGATACAGACAATGCCAAGAAGCTTCTAAGGTAGAGTGATTTTGTTATACACTGTGGTCTTATTTTGGGAAATGAAGTATCGTAACATCTGTTGGTAGAAATAATAGAGAAGGGGCAGACTTGGGGTAGTTTTGATTCTAATGTAACTAGCAGTATGAAATGAAAGCCCTCTTTCTGAAGATTATATAGCAAAGTGAAAGCAGCTGCCTCCCTATTGAATTTGCTCATTCCCTAAGGAACACCAGAGAAAACATGGCCAGGATCCTAAAAGTGCTGTTACCCATATGCCTTTTAAGAATAGTGAGTAAGTAGCAGCTGGTGTATGGGAGGTGCTTGGTGGATGACTTGTCGGTGAGCTTTAAGCAACTCTTTTGTCAGCGCAGTGCTGGAGAAGGAGAGGGAACGTAGAGCCTCCAATCATTCCTTTTCCGTGCTTTTCATTTTTATATAATACAACATTTATTCTAAGATTTACAGGATCCTTACTAGTTTTCATGCTGAGCAGCAGTATCACTTCCCAACCCCTGCTGCTCTTTACATGAGCAGCAATTAAGATTTGATTTACTAATCCCTCATTGCGGCCTCTCCACCTACTTCTTTTCATCTGTTGAGGCTTAGGACCTTCACAGCTGAGCATCACGATGTTAACAGCTCAGCCATAGGGCTCAGGGCAGGAGGCACCTGAATAGATTCTGCAGAATAAAAGTTATCTAAGAGCAAGGTCAGAGCAGTATGAAATCTAAAAGAATGAAGAGAGCCTGGATGACTGCGAAGGTGAAAGCAGAAGAGCAAAGAGCTTGTTCGTTAAGGTGGCTTCCCTCTGCTGAGGAAAGATCTGCCTTTTGTTTTCTAGAAGAAAGTAATTTATAGTAGTCTTGTCAGTTAGTAAACTTTCTAATTCTATGCTAGAGGCTGGTAGCTAGAAGAACCAGAGAACAGTTGAGCCTATTTTGACCTACCCATCTTTTTTCATCCTTCTCATATGAACCTGCATTTAAAAGGATACTTTGTTCATTCTTTTAGATAAGAAAGCATATCCCAGCCACTGCTGCAGTTCCCTTTATCTTAATAGCTCTCATGGACACTCAAGTTGAGAGTAGTGCATATTGTCTTGATTTGTAATGCGGGAATTTTATTTATTGACTACTGTCTATTTGAGAAAATCTTTTATGAATGAAATGATTCGTTAGACATTCTTCCTTTGTTCAACAGTCTTCACATTCTGCATTTGATCTGCTGAATGGCTACTGAAATTTTACTAATGTGGAAGCTGAAAGGCTATTCCAGCCTTGGGTTGATTTACTGCCCCTCTCCCCACCGTTACTGTTTTCAGGATGGTGTGCTGTGGAATCGGAAGTCGGCCCATTAGGCTGAAATGAATGTAGCCATGCTAACTTCTCTCAGTGCTTTGCAGTGGTTGTTAGTTTAAAAATCTAAAACAAAAACACGACTTCACGGGACACTAATGTGCTTGAGTTTGTTATTGCTTGCTATTGCTTCACCTTTCCTTCCATGTCTTGCTCTCATGCTTCCTAATGCCTGAGCAGACTGCATCATCAGAGCGCCGAGGAGAGTGGGAAATCCAGCCCAGCCGGCAGACCAGTACCTCGTACCTGACGTCTCACTTGGCTGCAGACCGCCATGGGGGATCAGTGCAGGTACTCACTGCCCTTACTGCCTTTTCCTGGCTTCCCAGCTTAGCGGGTAGGATGTTGGCTAGCTCTGAGACTTGGGTTCCTTTCAGGTGAACGCTGACAGCAAGCGTGAGCTTCTTCCATGATCTTCCATGACGATCAGTGTGCTGGTTTCCTACGTAGCTAGACTTTGATACAAACACTTGTTAAGATAATCACTTCTTGTCATGTTCTAAAAAACATCCTTGATGATTTCTGATACTGTGTTTGCCCTGTCCTACTTGATCCATTCATGTTAAACTACAAAAAGCCATCAAGGTAGAAGTGTGTTAGTGTCAAGGTGGAACTGTCATGACCTGAAACACAAAATAAGTACTTTCTGGACAAGCGGACTACATATATATAGCTCATGCTGGATGATATGTGCTTTTGCACATTGCTGATAGGTGTAATTCTCTTGTTCCTGAGAGGGTGCCCAAAAGTTGGGCTATTTTCTTTTTTTCTCCCTAGAATGAACACAGTCTTAGAAAATTATTTGTAGCTTCATTTGGCCTCACTTACTGTCTTCCTTCTCTGTTCAGTATCAAGAGCATCTTGTATCTTTTTAACTTTTCTTATATGTGACTTTTAAAATCTTAACCTGAATGTTTCTCTCATACTGCTTATGACACTCCGAGCTGAGGCACGCGAGTTTACCCTATGGGTGTAGAACTGTGTCTTGTATGCTTTTACATGGAGTCATTCTCCTTGTTGCTCACAGGATGTTAGGAGATACTTTGACCCTGTAAAGACATTGTAGGAATATGTAGGTGAAAATGATGGGTTGAGCACATAGATCCATTTTCACCCCCTCCTGAAAGAGTGGTGATGGAATCTATTTCTAGGGATGAGTCTTTTTAAGAATGGTAAAAACAGAAGAGAAGGCAAGAGGGACAAAAGTGTTAGAAGTTGAAGGTGGATGGGCATTTATCAAATGACTTAGGAGTCCCCAAAAAAATTGAATCCTGGGGATTTGTGCCCAGGATTTGCCCCTCCTCCCCCGCTCAAAGCAGCGGCAATATGTATTTGAAAAAGTAAAAGAGAAGCATGAGGGAGAAACTGGCTCTGCAGAATAAGCTTGGGGCAAGTAAAGAGGAAAAAGCAAGATAAAAGAGAACACCCTGGAGCTGGGCATGGTGGCGCACGCCTGTAATCTCAGCACTTGGGAGGCTGAGGCAGGAAGATCACTGTGAGTTTGAGGCCAGCCTGGGGTACATGATGAGTTCAAGCCAATCTGAACTACACGGTGAGACCCTGTCTCAAAAAACAGACGCAAAACAGTACACACTGGAGGAAGCAGGGTGGGCTGTCGTGAAGAAAGCCACTATAGCCAGAGGCAGAGGACCCTCTACTCAAATAGGGAAATTAGTCAAAAGTCCGTTTAAGAAGTGATAGATCCCTGTCTAGCAAAGATGAAAGATGTATTTTCTGGAGAGGGCAAAAGAGAAGGTCTGTGGTCAAGGAGCTACCGAGCACCATTCGAAGCAAGGTCCTGTGTGGAAAGGGGGAGTGAGTGAGGCCTGCTGACCGCCTGTTCTCCCCGCTCAGTATTTCACAGAGCCAGTAACCAGGTCTCTCCCTCCCAGGCAAGAGAGTGAAAGAGCAAGCTCCGGGATATGTGCTCAGCCCCCAAGAAAACATCTTAGGACGCTGACAGCAGGGTCTCGCCCCTGAAACGACAAAGCAGCGTCACCCCACAGTGCAGTCCACAGGTGTCAAACCCCTGCTCCCTTGTCACGCTGCCAACTCGTGTGTAGTCCCCCATTTTAAAGCGCGCAGATAGGGGCAGGGGATTTAGCTCAGCGGCACAGCACCTGCCTGGCAAGCGTGAGGTCGTGAGTTCGATTCCGGGTACCAGAAGAAAACCAAATAAATAAATAAATAAATAAAGCGTGCAGATAATCAATGACTATCGGACTTCCGAGGAGCGCCCTTACTAAGAAGGAGACCAAAGCAAACAAGCAACAGTACTAGTGTGTCTGTTTTTAAAGAACTTCGTTGTAAAAAAAAGAGCTCTTGGAAATTCAGAACATAATAAAATGATAGAAATGACTAGAACTGGGGGGGGTGTAGCTCATTGGGTTCTAATCTCTAGCACTGCAATAAATAAATCACAGGTTTTGAATAGATTAGTGGTTTGCAATTAATATATAAGCAGATAAAAAAAGAAACCTTAAAGACAGTTGGTAATTTGAAAAATTGTACACAAAAGGAAAGATAACCATGGTATACTATATGAACTGTAGTAGAAGGATGGAAAAAGATATCATTGTAAAGATGTGCCTAAACATGAAAAATAAAGTTGCATGTTAAAAGATCAGAAATCACAAAAAAAAGCAAAGGAATCATCTATAAAAGAGGGGAAATGGTAAAGTGGGGAAAAGAAAGTACTGATTTTCCTAACAGTCTTTGTAGAAATATACAATTTTTAACTGATATAACTGATAAAAATAAAACCTAGTGATTAAAAATACATATGTTGGTTTTACCTGTCATACTGGCAAAAATTTATGCACCCACTTATTGAATATGAATTATACCTATTTTGGCGAGTAATGCGGCATCATCTGTTAAAATCTTAAATTTGAGCCAGATAAACATTTCCCAGAATCCATAAATTCCTTGCTAGGCACAGGGGTGTGTGCCTGTAATCCCAGCTACTTGGGAGGCTGAAACAGGAGAAGGATGGAATCAAGGCCTAGGGAAACATTCATCAAGACTCTCTCAAAACTTAAAGAAATGTGGCTGGAGCTCAGTGGCAGAGCACTTGTGTAGCGCGCACAAGTCCCCTGAGTTGAATCTGTTGTATCATAGAGAGACAGGAGAAAATGAATGTAGTTTTAAATTTTATAGTAGCCACATTAAAAAGAAATAGGTAAAACTAATTTTAATAACATTTTATTTAACCCAGTACTGTATATCTAAAATATTTCAGCATATAGTCAATATAAAAACATTGAGGAAGGGAGCTGGGGATATAGTTCAGTGGCACAAGCACCTGCCTAGCAAGCACAAGGTCCTGAGTTTGATTGCCAATACCAAAAAAAAAAAAAAAAAAAAAAGAAAAAGAACATGCCCCACAATTTCTAAAGTCTACAAACTTTGAGACATTTTATATCTTTACAAAATGACCCCACCCACTCAAAAGCTTCCCCAAGACCCCAAACAAACAAAAAGCCCCCAAATAAATGAACAAAAAGCCAAGAAAAGAAAAGCAAAAGCCAA